TTCCAGGCTTCCTCTTTCTCTTTCATGCCGGCCTTGCCTCCTTTGTGGGAGCTGCAGCTGAGGAGAGGTCACTGAACCCAAAGAAAATGTACTTTCTGTGTCTGTATGTTTATTTAGTCCCCAAATTCACTTGGAGCGACCCTGATTGGTGACTGGTTTAGTCCTGTATCGCAACAGGTAAACATTGTTTCAAAGGCCTTTCCTTATTGCTGTACTTTGATGTTAATATTATAGAAGCATTTAGAATATACGTGGCATAAAGAAATCAAATGGCTATAAAAGTAGCAATAATAGTGATGCTTATTGAGATTAAAAGAAGCACTTAAAATCCTAGAGAGTAACAGCATATAAGAAAGAAAGATTAGTTGGGTTAATGCATTCTAAGATCAGTGTTATCTAGGAGAAATGTTAATTTTAGATTTTAGGCACTGATAAATCAAGCATACATGTTTTAATTTATTTCAAATAACAGAACTAGAGAKTAAGACATATAAATGAATATAAAGAAAAAGTGAAATATTTATTAAGTTTAAAAGAACGCAAGAAAAGGTAAAAAATAGAACATCTGAAAAGAACCCAAATTAAGATAGATTTGAATCCGTCATGAAATTTTCATGCTACTTGGGGAAAAACACAACTAACAAGCGAAATGAATACATATGTAATTTAATGTAGCAATATATGCAATGAAGAAAAATCAAATAGGGCAAAGTGTTAGCTGGTGTCTAAGGGGAGGCTATTTTTAGATAAGACTAGATCTGAGAGAAAGARGAGGTAAGCAAGACTCCAAGGATTTTTATTTTGAACAATAAGAGGTTGAGAAGAGAAGAGAGGTCAGAAAAGATACTGAGAAAGGGCAGTCAATGAGGGGAAAAGAAAACCAAAGRATGTGGACCAGTGAAGTGCTTCAAGGAGGACATGATAAACTGAAATTAAGAACGCCCAGTTAATTTACTACAAACATCTCTCCCAGACCTAGACAACACAGCCAGCAGCAGGCTCAGTATTAAGTTACTGATCACAACAGGGCACATAAAAACCAAYAGAGCATAGTGGCTAAGTGCAAGGACTCTGATGACAGACTATCTGAAGTTGAATAGAATGCCTCACCTGTTTCTACTTGCGAGCTATATGTGATCTTAACTTCTCTTTGCTTTGCTTTTCCTTATTGCTGTACTTTGATGTTAATATTATAGWAGCATTTAGAATATACGTGGCATAAAGAAATCACTATTTATTTATTTATTTATTTATTTTAAGACTTAGTGAGACCCTAAGCAACTTACCAAGACCCTAACTTTGTGCTTAAGATATAGATCAGTTGGTAGAGTGCCTGCCTATCATTCACAAGGCCCTGGGTTCAGTCCCCACCACCACCACCCCCCCCCCCCCCCCAAAAAAAAAAAGACTCCTGACTTTGAACTTGGGATCCTCCTGCTTCAGCAGTCCCAAGCTGCTGGGATCACAGGCATGTGCTTCTGTGCCTGGCCACAATGTACATCCTTTTTAGAAGGAGAGAGAGAAATCCCTATAATGGCAAAGGTAAGTATTATGGTTTGTACCTGGAATGTCCCTCAAAGGTTTATATGTTGAAGTTTGGTCTTAAATGCAGCAATGTTCAGAGACACAGTTTTTAGGAAATCATGAGGGATCTAACCTCATCAATGGATTAATCCAGTGAGGGATTCAGAGCTGAATGGACTACTGGGAGGTTGTGCARATTGCAGAAGGTAGAACCTAGTTAGAGAAAAAGTGGGTCCTAGGGAGTTTGTGCCTTTGCGGGGGGGTTGTGGGGGGCACCATATCTTGTACCCAGCCCCTTCCATTCTCTTTGCTTCCTGGAAGCCATGTGATGAGCTCCTTTGCTCTGCCACACCCTTCTGTTATGTTCTGCCTCACCACAGGCCCAGAAATAATGGAGCCAGCCCATCATGAACTAAAATCTCTGAAACCATGAACCAAGTTGTTTTTATCAGGTATTTTGTCATAGCAACAAAAACCTAACACAGTAGAAAACAGAATTATTTATAAAGTACTGAATTGCATTTTACTTTATTTTATTTTTTTTAGAGAGGGGGAGAGAGAGAGAGAGAATTTTAATATTTATTTTTTAATCATCGGYGGACACAACATCTTTGTTTTGTATGTGGTGCTGAGGATCGAACCCGGGCCGCATGCATGCCAGGCGAGCGCKCTACCGCTTGAGCCACATCCCCAGCCCCCTGAATTGCATTTTAAAAAATTTTTGTATTGGGGATAGAACCCAGGGTGCGTAACCCATGAACCATAGCCCTTTTTATTTTTTATTTTGAGACARGGCCTTACCAAGTTGCTTAGTGCCTTACCAAGTTGCTGAGACTGGCCTCCAATTCGMAAATCTCTTATCTTGGCCTCACAAACTGCTGGGATTACTGGCATGGGCCATTGCACCCAGCATAATAACTATATTCTGATAGAGAGCATAAAATAAACTATGGAACATGTGTAGTTCTTTGCTACAGTATCTTGCATTTAAGGTATATGTTCATGTCAAGCTATTATTTCCATTATGATGTCCTATTAAATGCTTACTGGCTCAAACTCTTGTTAACTTTTCCAGTTGGATTATGTCCTTTTTACAATCTAAAATAACCTATGATGAAAAGTGATAATAATAAATAAACACAATATCACAACTAAGAGATGAAATTGCAGAACATCATCTTGGTGCTAGATATTTGAGTCAATTTTTGTGTGTGTAAAACACTGAAGTAGGTGCTTTGAAGAATTCATAAAAGTATATGACTCTCTTTAATCTGAAAGATAAAAATGCATATACGTGAGAAGGTTTCGCAATAGGAATATGTGGCTAGGTGATTAATGAATGAGATAGTGTTATCACAGATAAGATAGGATGAAAGTCAGTCCTGGTTGTAAGTAAGTGTCATGAATAAAATAAGATTAAAGTAAGATTTTGAACTGGTACCATGAAAAGGAAGTTATTACAATCATTACATTTTAGGATAAGTGAGGACTCAAGTGARCTTTATTAGAAAACTATTAGACAAAGTACTTCTGCAAAAGAGTGAATAAACTAAGAGGAAGATACCATATTCATAAACCAAGGTTCTGATACAAGAGATGGGGGAAGGGAAGTCCCAGTGTGACAGCTTCAACAAGACTGGAGAGTCACTAGCACAGATTGGACAAGAGAACAGAGGCATAAAAGGAGGCTTTAAGGGRAAAATGGAACTTTGAAGAATTCATAGAAGGATATGACTCTCAATCTGAAAGATAAAACACATATACATGAGAATTTTATACAAGAACATATGCCTAAGTGACTAATGAATGGGATAATGTTAAATAACATATATGATAGGGTAGAAATCACTGCTGTTTGATGTGTTGGGGATTTGATGTGAAACAAGTTTGAGGTATTGGGTCCACTGTAGCATTAAAAAAAAAAAAAACAGGAATAGATAAATTATATACACCTGGCAAACAAAAACAAATGGATAAAAGAGGCAATTATTAACTTAAGGGGGCAAATGTAAAAAGATAGTCATATCACCTTGTCTTGGTCTTGACTGATATTTCCGTGGTTATGGTAAAGTACATACCAACTGCAGACTTATTCAAATATCATTATAGAACTATTGACAGAATGGGCATGTGTGGGGAGGGATGTTAGAGATCTAAATCCTCAACTACCTCAGAAGATCATTTCTATGCTATTTTAAAATATAGCAACACATAATCTAGAAACAGGGAGGTAAACTTCAGTAGCAAGAACCAAAAAAGTTGGGAGAATTGCTCTTAAGCAGTGAGACATGGGGTAACAGTTGTTCAGGGCTAGGGCAAGGATAGCTGATTTTTATTGTAGGTTTTGAAAAAGTATTATATAAAGAAAGTCTTTGCTTAAAAAATAATAGAATGAATAGAAAAATCAAGACAAAGTAATAATATACAGGAGTCTGATGGACTGGACAATATCACTGTAATTCATTCATAGAACAAATTCATCACTCATAATTCTGGGCCAAGCACTAAGACACCAGAAATATAGCGGTGAATGAAGACATAAGGTCTCTGCTTTCATGAAGTTCACATCTACTATAGCAAATAGACGGTGACCAAGAAAAAAGATTTTTAAAAAATAGTACAAATTATAGCAATAAGAAGTGCAAATAGGAAAAAAAAAGAATAAGAAAACTGATAAAAGTGGTGGTGAGGGAAAGTAAGGGCAGCTACTTTAGTTTCTCAGGGATGGCCTCTGAGATAACTTTACATTTGAAAGATGCAGAACATCAGGTAGCTGACTGGTATAAGTTGGGAATTTCTCAAGGTACAGACTACTTAGAGGAAGACAGAATATTGCATAGCCTCCTTCAGAGGAATTCCAAGATTTAAGAGCAGCCAGTTAAGGTGGGGCCTGTAAGAAAAGGCACAAGCAAGAAAACTTCAACAGTACTTCACCATTTTCAGTTGTCATTTCTCTAAAACTGCCCTGTAGTTATATTTATTTTTGGAATTAAAGTGCGTATCAATTTAGTCTCCAGGTTTTTGCATCAGCTCCAGAGATAACTGGAGATTCTTGCATCCCAGAAAAATATGTATACAATTATCTAGAAAGTTACTCATCTGTCCTCACTGTAAATTCCACCACCTTAGCCCAGGATCTTAGCCCTCAAGCCACTGGGCTCACGTCGGTGTTTCTTTTTGGTTCTGGGGATTGAGTGCTTGCTGTACCATTGATTCCAGCCCTTTTCATTTTTTTGAGACAAGGTTTTGCTAAATTGCTGAGGCTGGCCTTGAACTTGCGATCCTCCTGGCTCGGCCTCCCCAAATACTGGGATTACAGACCCTGCCCAGACCTCGGTGTTTCCAAGGTCATTGTAACCACAGAAAGGGAAGGGCTGAGTTGTCCTTGCGATTATCCTTGAAGACCCTCCCGGGTCGCTCCTTTAAGAGTAAACAATATACAGTCTTGCATTCTGTAAGGAATTCTGCACGCTGTGCTGGTCACATCCTGCAGCGCGGCGGTGAGGTGATTCCGTCCCCCAGGGGGCCCTAAAGTCTGAAGCGGGGAATAATGGCCGCGGGCGAAGCTGCCCCAG